GGAGGGGAGTTATGGGGGGGGAAAAAAGAGGAACAAATGTAACCTGAACAATAAAGATTTAATTAAAAATAAATAAATAAAAAAGAAAGAAAAAAAAAAGAAAGTTGAGTCATGTTGCTTTATTGCCACATTTCTTCCTTTCCTTTAAAATAAACCCATCTAGCCCTGGCCAGTGTGGCTCAGTTGGCCCCATGTTCCACAGGATTGCTTTGATTCCTGGGTGGGGCACATCCCAGGTTGTGGGTTTGATCCCTGTTGGGGTACATACAGGAGGCAACTGATCGCTGTTTCTCTCTCACATCAATGTTTCTCTCTCTCACTCCCTCTCCTTTCTTCTCTCTTTAAAATAAAATAAAAACACCATATTTTTATTTTAAAAAACAAACAAAAACTAAATAAAAAACCCATCCATTCATTCCTTACACATTTATAATGTAAATACTATGTGCCAGTCACTGTGGTAACTGCGGGGCCCCAGGCAGTGCCTGGGAGCTCTATTACTCATCTTGCAGTGAGTGGCGCCTGGGGTGGCTGAAACCCTTTCAGAAAATAAATCATACTTAGAACGTCTACATTCAGGAGTTCTAATTGTAATAATGATGGCATGGATCTGCCTCCCAGAGCCCCCTGCACACTCAGGAACCTAGGGCTCCTCAGAACACTACTTTTAAAAGACAGAAATAGAAAGAGCAAGAAACCTGTGAGCATTTGCACCATAAAAACCGCCAGTGTGAATTATAATGTCTTTGCTGACCACATACAACAGTTAAGGAAGCAGTTATAAACTAGAAAAGAAACACTTTCATCTGTTTCAGAATAATCTTATTTTATCTTTATGTAAAGCTTATACCACAGTAGTCAGCTTTTTTTTCCTATTAAAAACAAATATAGAGCCCGGCTGGCATGGCTCAGTGGTTGAGCGTCGACCTATGAATCAGGAGGTCAAGGTTCGATTCCCTATCAGGGCACATGCCCTTGTTGCAGGCTTGATCCCCAGTAGGGGGCATGCAAGAGGCAGCCAATCAATGATTCTCTCTCATCATTGATGTTTCTCTCTCTCTCTGAAATCAATAATATATTTAAAAATAAAAACAAATATAGAAATAGAGTGATATAAATACAAGTAGAGACAGCATGTGATAGGAGAATCAAAGCAGTTTATCATCAATAAATAGTTGATACATATCAGAGTTCAGGTCTAGCCGATTCTATGTAGAAAGTAAAGCTCTAATCAGAATTTCTCTCCATTAGGAGGTTGCCCTTACCTTTCGATCTCAGCTCTCTGGCTGGGGTTGGTGATGGCCGCAATGTACTGCATGATGTACTTACTGGCTTCGGTTTTGCCAGCTCCACTCTCCCCTGGGGGAAAATTGTGCCAGGCTTAAGCAAGCTCATTTTTAATGGGGTAATTTAAAATTGTCATGTTAGTTACTTATTTAAAATCCCTATGTTTTAATGTTTGCCTTTTTTTTGGAGTTTTGTCATCCTGTCTTGATGTGGTATTGGTTCTAGCCATGTTGAAAAAAAATAAGACTATTGTAGAAGTAAAGAAACATATAGATTACAAATCAAGATATATTTAGTAAAAAAAATCATGAACTAAAATGTGATAAACTAGTTCCTAAGACTAGTCTTAGCCCTTTGCAGTGATTCTTGTCTCGTAGGAAAAAAGTAAGTTAATGATTCAAACAAGTAGCCACAACTAAATGAATAGTACCTTTTTTCTATAACAGTATTTCCTTTCATTTTACTGGGGACAAAATAATTCTTTCAGAAAATGAAAATTAGAGCAATTTTGGTAAAAAACAACAACAAAAAACAGGCAGCAAGCAAGCTTCAGACACATGGTATCACAGAAAAAGCATGACAACTGGTAAAAGGGGGAAGAAAAGGTCAATTTTGAATTACCTACCCCAATTTTTAAATGTTTATGCCTTCTGACCCCAAAATTCTACCTGTAAATATTTATACTGTTGAAATAATAAAATACTAGTATAGTAATAATCATCGTACTTTTCAAAAGGCTTTTTGCTGGCTACATATCATAGCTAAAATCTGAAAATAATATGCTCATAAATAGAGGATAGGGGAAATAAACTATGATTTGGTAGACTACTACACAATTATCTGATGAAAAGATGTCCATTATATACTGTTAAGTGAAAAAAACAAGGTATGTAATAGCAGCTATAACATAATTCTATAATTGTGCATTTACGACATAATTATATATGCATGTATAACTATATGTATTTGTACATGAAAGAAAAGGTATAAAAGGATAAACACTATTGTTCACAGTGTTACTGCTGAAATTATTCTTTTTTGGGGGGGGGATAGTCTAAAGGAACGGACTTTTTGTGTTCACTTAATACAATCAGGCAATATTGCTTAACATAGTTTGTTTTCACAGAATGTAGTCCTAGGCTATCATTCTCTAACTCCTAACTCTTCTGACCCTTGATAGTCTCCTCTAAAAAGTAGAAACACAACTGCTTTACCTACCACTCAGAGCTGTTGCAATAATCAAAATGGAATAAAGATCACAAAAATGTTTTCAAAAGTATAAAGCCACTCATGCAAAATGTGAGGTGCCAGTAGCACCAGAAGAAGTTTCCACAGTTTGGGGGGAGCCCTCCTGGGTCAGCTCCACTCCTTGGGCCTTTGGGGTCCATCTCCCTCCTGGTGGAGCACCCCCAGCTCCCTGAGCCTATTTCGGGGCCCCCTCAACACTAGCTCCCATTCACCACTCTGACTGAGCTCATTCTTTCATTCTTGGTACCAGGATTTCATTTTCTCGGTTTCACCCTGTCATTACCTAAAATAACTTTTGTTACAATTTGTCCGGTACTTTTATGTGTTTGAGATGGAAGGAATTTCCATGGCAGCTCAGTCTACAAAACTGTTTAGAGGTCCATCCAAACGTAACATGTATTTTGTAAATGAACCAAGACTAGAGGGTGGTCGGAAATGATATAAATAATTTTGTATGTTCATCACATTTTTTTTTCTTCTAAAAATTGCTTACGTTTCTAACTTCAAAAAAAGATCTAATGAAACATTTGGATCCTTGAGTACCTAATAAATGAAATACAGTCTAACCTTGGAAGTACAGAGGACCCCCTCCCTAAAATACCTGATATCACAATACAAGTGTCTTTGGATCTCCGCTTCATGGCCTTGTAGGCGGCATCGGCAATAGCAAACAGGTGAGGCGGCCTCTCGTACAGCTCCCGGCCTTTATACTGCTCAATCGTCTCTCTCCCATAGATGTTCAGCGACTTGTAGGGATTTACAGAAACGACAACTTCTCCAATGAATGTGTAGATGCGCCCCTTTTCAAACCTGTGCAGAAGTAAAAGAAAAGGAAGACGTAGATGTGGTTACACAGAGATGCTATTTCTTTTTTTTCTGTGCGTCTCTTCTCTCCAAGAAAGTCCAAACGCCACAGGCACAAAGTTTCTGAACTGCCGTCTCCTTGGTTCTGAGTTTGCAGTTTAGAGATGACCGTTTGAGGCTGGGCTGAGATGCTGCTGTTGGGAAGGCCCAGTAGGTGTCAGAAGCCAAGAAAGAAGAAAGAATCTAATTCTGTGAGGGGCAGGGGATTCCTAATTTCCAAAATAGAGAAGGTACAGTAAGAGGGGGTAGGAGGGACAGTTGAAGACAACCTAAGCGCTCTAGGAAGAAAAATTAAGTTAAACCAGGTCTTGCATCAACTGAGCCAGATTTTCAATTATACAGAAAAAGGTCCAAATACATGTATTTCTCTTCCCTCTTGAAACCCCACTCAAATGTCAGAAAAGGGATAAAAAACAGTGAATCCATAACAGAGAGGATGGCAGAGGAGACGTTTCTGGCATAAGTCAAATCCATTTTTTGAATGGCTGCCTAAAATCTCATGGGGTAGTCATTATTTATTTAACCACCCCCCTTCCTTCCTGCTATTTTGAGTAACACTGTAGAAAACACTCCTGACACAAAACCTTACAAATCAGGCCTAGCTGGTTTGGCTCAGTGGATAGAGCGTCAGCCTGCAGACTGAAGGGTCTTGGGTTTGATTCTGGTCAAGGGCACATGCCTCGGTTGTGGGCTACATCCCTAGTAGGGGGAGTGCAGGAGTCAGTCAATCAATGATTCTCTCTCATCATTGATGTTTCTCTCTCTCGCTCCCCCTCTCCCTTCCTCTCTGAAATCAATAAAAATATATTTAAAAAACAAACAAGAAAAACCCTACGAATCAGTGCTTTCATTTCTATTGGACAGATCACCAGAATGGGATAACTGGTCGTAAGGTTTATGGGTTTTAAAAAGTTTTTATAATATGATCCTACCTTTTTACCATAAAAGGCTAAAAGCCACCCCATATATGATTGGCATATATAACTGCACATAGATATATTTTATACATGATTACGAAAGCATGGGAAAATATGGAAGACTGCATGCCATGTCTTATGTATCCTTTATACATATAATAGGGTAAAGAGGAGGAAGGCCATGTGGGCAGTTGGAAGAAGCCATAGGAACAAAGAAAAAAAGAGTTAACCCCCGCCCCCCAAAACAAAACCCAATGCCTAGCATACGTGTCTATATTTACAAAGAAAAAATTTTTAAATTTAGAAAACCCAGACACAGTCACTATGTACATATCAACTCACACATATAAACATATATGAACCAGAGCTAGGCCGACACCCAAGTGGACAAGTGGTTGCCACCATCACACTCCACCTGCCGAGAGCCACAGGCAGACACACAGGTTATTCCGAGAGCAGCATGCAGGGAGCGCCACGATGGGCAGAACGCTGACCTGGGCAGCAGCCGTGTCTCCAGCACGCTTGCTGTGGGGCAGGGCAAGAACTAAGCCTTTGGGACCACAAGGCCAAAAAGTACCTTCAACTTCCTTCGCATGACAACAAAGGCTGTGGCTATAATTAGGAGTGGAAACAAACAGATGTTGATAATGTCAACAGTAAATTAAAACCAAGATTTCTATCAAGTGGTGGTGTATATTTAAATAAGAGCTATGAACCACACCAGGGTTTTCTGTGCCTTTTTCTGCAGTGGTTTTCCTGTGCATCCTCCGACTGTGAGCAAGTTTAAGGGTGGCTGCAAGTCCTCTGCATCTGGGTCTGAATGCTCACGTTGCAAACTTATTAACCTTAACCGTGAGACCTCGGGAAAGCTACTTAGCCTCCAGGTGTTTCAGCTTCTTCATCTGTGAGATGGTGATAATTACACCCCTCTCCCCCTGGCACTGTGCAAGGGCTTTAAAAAAGAGGCAATTAATTTTATGTTTCCAATTATGTTATGCAGGAAGGAGATTTTTAATAAATGCTTTCATTTTATTATCATTGCTACTTAAATCACAGCAATCCCAACACACAAGGAATTAATCCGGTGATCATAATTCGCTTGCGCCAATAAACTAGCGGCTAGTCACAAGCAAAATGTCTACACAGCTCATGTTCAAAGACACACAAAAGTAATAAAAAGCGAAGGCTCACTACCCTGCCTGTCTAGCTTAACCTTCAAATTTGCATGACATGCTCAACAGCTGTCTTCAAGGATAAGAGTCAAAAACAAATCAAAACAGGATTCTTTTAGTTTTACAAAACACTGTCCACACAGGAAAAAAGGAAGAGAGAAAAGGAGAGAGAGAGAGAGAGAGAGAGAGAGAGAGAGAGAGAGAGAGAGAGAGAGAAGAAAAGGATATTAGAAATAATTACCTCATGAGTGTGGAACTTGGTGACTAAGAGGTACAGCAAATAACACATGAGATTAGAATGTTCTAAGAGTGCAGGTCTGTCTAATCATGACTTTCCCCCGAATTCACTTTATTTCAAATTAAATGATTTTGTTACTTTAAAGTTCTAGGTGACATTGAAAACACACGGACAGAACGATCACAGGCATAATTATTAACTTGGAGAGAGAGTCAAAGGTTCATCCAAATACGGTATTAAATACAAAGCTTCACCCCTTACAAAACATCCCAGGCGTATCTTATTTGAAACCATGGTTATCAAAGACGAAATTTTAATTTGCTTAGGCTGAAAACCACCGCTAGAGGGTGCCAGCAGACGCATGAACACCAATCCAAGGTTTCAATTTGCTCTGGAAAGTCTTCGGGGATGAAGTCAGCTTCCCGGAGGTAATGTGGTCACCTGCCTGGTTTGCCTCCAGGGCAAATGCTGTAATGATCCTAGAGGACACATGGGAAGATGCCACCGCTTACAAGAGACCAAGATCAACTTTGTACCAGACACTGGGGCCTGACTCTGGGATTTAAGAAAAGAAAAAGAACAGGGAAGTACTGCAAATAGATAATAACAGCAGAGTATGATAGGTAAGATAATGAAAGCATGCACTGCCGTGGCCAAGATGACCGCACGCCCTTTCAATGAGGAGCCCTAAAGAGAAGTATGTGAACTCCAGAGCAGAGTACAAGGTCTTCTGTGTTCTGGTCTTGGGTTCTCTTCACGTGACTCCTAATTACCCATCAACACCTCCCCGTCTCCTCTTTCTCTACCAAGCTCACCTCCACATTAATGAGCTGTTTACAGTTCCCACGAGCACCATGACTTCATGGTTTGCTCCTGGGGTTCATTCTGTCCTTTCCCCACCTGGTCTCTTCCTCCCCCAGCTGCTTGGCAGGTTCTCAATTCTTCAAAAGCCTCCACATCAGCTCCTCTAGGAAGCAGGTCTTGATACCCCATGTCCAACGCCAGGACCCCATCAAGAACGCCAGGATGACGGTATTTGCTCTGTTCAGACATTTTCTTTAGAACTCCCCCAAAGAGTTCAAATAAGCTTAACAGCCATTGATGTTGAAAGCTGAATTTCTTTTAAGAAGTTCAAAACTATTTATCGAATGGGCCAGCTGTTTTCCACTGGCTTCTGAATGAAAAACGAGGTTCCAAAAGGGTTTTGAATTAATGAGTGGCAACAGAGAAAATGTAAGAATGCCTCCGGAGGAGGACAACAGTCTTTTTGTACAAGAATTTGGAAACATTTATTTAAACAACAGCAACTAGAAGGACTCTGTTTCCAGGAGTAGAGAGCACTGACAGCCCAGGGTGTGACCTGGCCACGGAGAAATGTGAACGATCTGCAGTGGATACTCCTCACAGGCCTCTTGTATGGAGCCAGAAGCTGGGTGACTGTGTGTATGACACTTCAGAACATTTTTGGAAAACTAACAAAACACGGTGTTCCCCAAAATATGTATACACACTGTAACAGCTGAGAGCTCAATTTCGAAAAGGAAATGTATTTTAATAAACGCTGCCTTTATAATTATTCAAAATGTGTGTATACATTTTGGGGGGACCCCCTGTGTGTGAGGTTGGCTGGTAGCTCCTACCGTTGCTGAACAAAGTGGTGAATGTAATGGATGAGGTTAGGGATTCAAATCCCCAGCTCCAGTGCCACAAAATGACCTGAAAGCGTTTGCCGGTGCCCTGAAGGAGAGAGCCTGGTCTCCCACACCCGGGGCTGAGATCCCCGGCGAGCACAGCGCCTCCTTTTGGGCTGCAGTGAGGACACAGCAATCACTGCTGTAGTGTTTACCCAACAGCATAGAACCTGAGTCCAATCAGGAGGGAACCTAAGACAAACCTACACTGAAGCACATGCTACAAAAGAACTGAAAAGTTTTGCAGTCAAGAAAAGAGAGAAAGGCTGAATAATATTCCAGATTATAAGAAGTCAGAGACAATAACCGCTAAGCGCAAGGCCTGCTCCAAGGAAGTTTCTGGTGGTATTCTTGCAATTTTTCAGTACATTTGAAATTATATCAGAATTAAAAGTTGTTCATAAAAATCCAATTTCCAAGCTTCTTTATAAAGTAGGATTAAAATTTTATTCATCTTGAATAGACAACACAGACTTGGTAATAGATTCAAAAGATATCAATGAAGAGCTAGTGACAAGTGTTTCATCTTTTACACAGCTTCCCTCATCCCAGAACTTTGACCCTTTTCTTTCCCGAGGCACCGAACTTTTGCAATGTTCATGAGCAAACTGCCAAGTTTCAATTCGGTTCAGTTCACCTCATCTAGAAGAGTTTCCTGTGAACTCTTCTAGAAATAGTTTATTCATACACGCGCATATGCACACATACAGTTTTTTACACAAGTGACCTTTTTCTCTAATTAAAATAGATATCTAGGTTTAAAATGTATGTATTTCTTATTTCATATAAAGAGGATAGTTTCATTTTTTATGCCTGCAATAGTATTTAATTTCATATCATATAATATAACCAATCCTTAATGGATGAACATTTAGGCTGCAAACAATGTTTTGGTACTAGGAACAATGCAACTATAATATAATGGCATATATTTCTTTATATATATATCTGTAGCACACATTTCTACACTTAAAGTTGCTGGTTCAAAGGGTATGTGTAATTTAAAGTTAGGAATGACTATCATATTATTCTCCAAAGAAGCTGCCGCAGTTGAAACTTCCACTGATGACGTGTGAGTTTCTGTTTCTTGGGTGTGGTTAGCCAACGATGCTGGCCCATGTCGAAAGGGCACCCTATATTGCAGTTTTACTTTCAAAGTACACAGAACTTTGACCCTTTTCTTTCCCGAGGCACCGAACTTTTGCAATGTTCATGAGCAAACTGCCAAGTTTCAATTCGGTTTAGTTCACCTTCCCTGGTTCTTAGATGAGGATCTCTCCCAAGGGTGAAGGCATTTTGTTTCTACTGCTTCTGGCAAAATCACGGTCTCCACGGGACGGACTCAACCTGTTTTACCCCCTTTGTTAGACTGCACGTTCCTGAGCTGGGCAGGGACTGTGTGTCAGAGAGATTATGAGCTTCTGTGTCCCACAGCCCCGCGGCGCCGGGTTTGAATCCTGGCTCTGCTAGTTACTGATTGTGTATATTCATAAACATCTGAGTAACTAATAAGTGCCAGGCACGAGGCCAAGAGCCCGAGTTACGGAGAAGAATAAGGCATTGCATTATTATACTCAAAGGTCTGCATACACAGTGCTGTATAGTTCAAATTTCACAGGATAGAGGGTTTAAAATTTACATATTTTTTATTTATCATTCTCCTCTTACACTCATTCTCTCTCTCTCTGTCTCGCTCTCTCACACACACGCCATTACACTGTTTCAGAAAAGATTTAAGATAACAACAAAGATAGAAAGGATGCTATGGAATCTTCAGAGAAAGGATACCTCACCCAGCTTTAGAAGTGGGAGGCTGGTTCAAAGCCAGCATCCTAAAATAGAAGTTATTTGACATCTGAACTAGTTCTGTGATTACACAATCTCCATATAGGTAGCTCTAGGCACTCCTCGGCTTCCACTGCCTTAAGAACACCTAGAAGAGGACACTTTATTTTGACTTTTTTTTTTTTTAACATACTGAATCTTGGAAGAGAATGCTGGGGAAACACCTCACTGCCCCCCAGTGGAGCACATGGTATCCCTGGTCCCTCCCCAGCAGGGGACAAGAAAGGGTGCCTTAAGAAGTGCACCTCGAATCCTAGCCCTAGCCCTAGCCCTAGCCCTAGCCCTAGCCCTAACACTAGGAGGGGAAGGATATTGGGAAATCTCGCAGGGCACTCAGTCAGCCAATCACCTTACAATGGACAGTCTCCATGACTGCTGGTGTGAGGACGTTTCCATGCTGGGCAGAGGTCATTGTTAGGTCAGAGCACCTGCAACTTCAACCCAGGGAATCCTGAAATGGTTCTGCTTTGATCGTGCAAGAAAAGCTGTCCTTTTCATGAGATTATAAAAGGTTTATAGCGTACCAAAACCATATCAGGGGATGCAAATGGTTTTGACCATCCTTTGCTACCCTACAGCTTTTAAACACTATTTAATCGACTGATCAATTTGGCTAAAATCCTAATGGAGGAAACGCAGGGACCAATGAACTGGCCCGCAGTGAAGCCATTAGAAGGGCCTGTAAGAGTCCTAAGAAACTACAGACCCTCAGACCAATAGACGGACATTTAAATATTCATATGCCATTAAAGTGAGTAGCAAACAAACACACCACAAGCAAGATCTTATATATTTTACACTGTCAGCCTATGAATAAATTACAATAGTGTTATCGATCGCTGAAATGCTGAATGCCTAATAACGACAGGCAGGAAGATTTAGACCAAAACATAAGAATGAAACTTTCCTATTAATAACATGACACTATATTTTCTCTTCTGATGCACAAGTAATAAATATAATTTCTCCAACATGGGGCTTAAGTTATACATTTATTCCTTTCCATCCATTTCATTTCAAAGAGAACTTCTATTACAGTAACCATTTGGCTAGTAGGTATGCCTAGGGGAGTAGTTAACTGGAATTTGCCTTAACCAAGGAGTTAGCCTATTTATAAATCAATACTGCCCAGGAAGATGCAGGATACCTGGATCTAAGTCAGAAAACCCTTTGGCAGGAATGCACAATTATGTGAATTAATAACAATATGCATTTTAAATAAGACCATAAACCACTTATACTACTGTACCGAACACTCTTTTTAAAAACAAACAAACAGCCCTGACTGGTTTGGCTCAGTGGATAGAGCGTTGGCCTGTGGACTGAAGGGTCCCAGGTTCGATTCCGGTCAAGGGCATGTACCTTGGTTGTGGGCACATCCCCGGTAGGGGGTGTGCAGGAGGCAGCTGATTGATGTTTCTCTCTCATCGATGTTTCTAACTCTCTATCCCTCTCCCTTCCTCTCTGTAAAA